AAAGTGGTAGTTACTCAAATCAAAATAATAATATCTTAGAATTTTAGTCCTTTGTGTTATAAAAGTTTTATATCTATAATAAATAAACTTCAAAAATGTCTAACGAACTTTGAGGTAATAGTAATAGTAAAAAGTCATAAAATTGAGTAACTTACAACACATTTGAAATCACTTTAAACTTCCAATTTATTCAATTTAAAATAAATATATATATATATGTCTTATCAACAAAGTTATATCAAGGTAGATAAAAATCTAAATGGTTTAAACACGTTAAAGTCATATTTAAAAATGGTAATATTCTGACTAGAAACAAAACCAAGGTTAAAACACAAAGCAAAACACAACCTGAATGTTCTTGGAGAAAAAAAAATGCCTTTTGAAATTTGAATTTGCACACTAAGGCAGGCAATCATATACAACATTGGAAAATCAAAGCTATCAAGCAAGAAAAAAGCTTTCCATTTCAAAATAATACTTCAGTATGTAATAGACTTTAAAAGAACACTTTCAGGGTTGTTAGGTCATTTTTGTGTCCTCTCTCAAGGGTTGTTATGTTGTGAGACTCTTTCCCAAAGAAATTCAGATATTTTATGACCAATTTATTCTTCCTCTATTAGAAGAACAAGGAAGGAAAAAGTCAGATTGGCCTACAATTTTTTCCAGAAACACACCATTACACCCATTCTTTAGTTCCTCTTAAGAATAGAAAGATCTAGAAGTAAATTTCTACTGTTTTTTAATCTAAAGGCATTCTGCATAGTAGATTCTTGCAGCAGAACTTTATTAGATGGTGGAAGTACTGAATGACAGAAAGAATTATCAGCATACTTACAAAACATAAAGTAATGCATTTGTCAATGTTTTTTGGCATTTTTTGTTCAATATAAATAGCAAGATCACAAGTTTGTGTGTTAAAGATAAATTAGATATATGAAATAAAGTGCAACATATATTAAGAAAGAAGATGTGGTATATAGATATATAGATATATATATAGATATATATATAGATATATATATATCTATAGATATATATATAGATATATAGATATATATACAATGGAGTATTACTGGGCAATGAAAAAAGAATGAAATCTTGTCATTTGCAACTAACGTGGATGGAACTGGAGGGTATTATGCTAAGCGAAATTAGCCAGACAAAGACAAATATCATATGACTTCACTCATATAAGGACTTTAAGATACAAAACAGATGAACATAAGGGAATGGAAGCAAAACTAATATAAAAACAGGGAGGGGGACAAAACATAAGAGACTCTTAAATATGGAGAACAAACAGGGTTACTGGAGTGGTTGTGGGAGAGGGGATGGGCTAAATGAGTAAGAGGCATTAAGGAATCTACTCCTGAAATCTTTGTTGTACTATATGATAACTAATTTGAATGTAAATTTAAAAAAAAAAAACTAAATAAAAAAAAAAAGAAACAAAGAAAGAAATAGGATGTGAACCACACCAGGCCAAGAAATAATGCCCTTACTAAATAAAGGCACAACATCTTCGGACTTAGTTAGCATGAACTTTCTTATATAAGCCATATGTAAAAATTGTTTGTATGATAGAAACTAAGAAATAATATTCCTTTAGAGATGCGAAAATTCAATTCAGAGTCAGAAACCATTCTGGTGCTAGCCTGAACTCTATTACATAAGTATATCATTTAAAAATAAACCATTTTCACTCTCTCAGACATTTGGTGTTCCCGTGACTAAGATAGTTTATGCTACCAAAGAGACTTTCTTATTTTGACACACATAAAGGTAGCTTATGAGCCACCAAAAATGTTTGCATGTGACACTAAACATGTAAGCTTGCCATCAACACACAATGCTTCTTGGCCAAGGCCTTTACCAAAGTGCATAAACAAGTTCATAAGGGTTGATTGTTTTGCTGCTTCAACCGATTTGCCTGCTAGCCATAAAGAGCTCCAAAGTGCAACATCTTGAAGATATTCCTTATATTTAACACCACAGGAAACCACTTTGGCACTCTCAATTTGTTGAGATTTTTTTTTTTTGAAGTGGGGGCACTACATGGTGGAAAAACATGCCGGGGTTGTTTGTTTCCCACAAACAGGCCATCTTGCTGTGAGAAAAGGGAAGCTCCTATCACAAGCTTCTGCAGAAATGCACTGATTGGCACTCTGCTGACTCGTTGATCTTAAGCACAGCCAGCAGAAGCCTGATTGTAATTATACTTGTTCCTGCTCTCTATGTATACATCAGGTGCAGCGGGGATCTCAGGATGTGCTGTTTAGTATCAAAACCCAACAGGGTTGGAGAGTTCCCCTTTCTCATTCACTGGTAGGCAAGGAAACACATTTAACATGGCTAAGTTGTTTGCAAGCCAAGTCAAACATAGCAGGGCTCATGATCGGAGCCTAGCCAAGTGCTCAGAGTGGGTGGTCAATGCACATTTGTCTAATTTAATTGAATGATCACAGAGAGCTTTAAGCTAAATTGGAGCTTTAAAAATTTTCCATTATAAGAGCCAGTTTTTAACACTAAAATATGGTGGAGGATTCATATTCTCAGAATGTGATTACCGGGGTCTTTCTGAAAATCTCCTGTGGTGTAGGCTAAGATTAGCATATGGGACCAGTATGGTCACAATGGAAACTTCTGCCATAATTTTTTAGCCCTCTTATAAAGGTAATCAGCTATTCAGTATCCTGTTAACAAAACCATTCTCTTTTTCAATTATCCAGTTATTTCTGTTTCTTACAACTGAGAATCTTGACTGATATCAGAGATTCATTAAGAATATTCCCGAATTTGACGCCTTTAGGCAATTAAAACAGAGAAAATAGATTTATGAATTAACACAGAATTGGCAAACATCGTGATATTAAAATATGACATTTCAAAATAATATTTTTAAATGACATCATAACACTAAAAATGTAAAACAAACATAATTTATTTAAAAGTCTTTTAGGGTTATCATTTAGCCTTATACAAAGATAACCATTTTTCAGAGTGCAGAGTGCTCCCTAAGCATCTGGGAATAACCGCTCTAGAACAAAGTATATTCCTAACTGCCCTTCTCACCATGCCTCATAAACTACCATTTTATTTCATCTTTATTACCCCCTAATTTGTCTCCTTTTATTCCTTTGTAATGACATTGTAATGGATTTAAATAACATTAGTCTGTGGATAAACTAGGTTGGGAAAAATGGCTTAAAAAGAAAAGGATCCCCAAATCGATCCATAGAGGCAACAAATCTTTATGATAACCCAACTGGCCTTCTTGTTGAAACTGACAAGCTGATCCTAAAATTCATAAGGAAATGGAAGGGACCCAGAATAACCAAAAAATATATATTGACAAAGAACAACGTTGGAGGTTTTCTACTTCCTGACTTCCAAACTTACTAGAAAGCCACAGTAAGCAATACTGTGTGGTATTAATATAAGTATATACATATAGATTAACAAAATAAAGTTGATAATTCAGAAATAAACCCATACATTTACAGTCAATTGATTTTCTACAAGGAAATCCAATAAAGAAAGAATAGTTTCTTCAACAAATGGTGCTGGGACAACCGATAGTCACATTCAAAAGAATGAAATTGAACATGTATTTACCACCATATACAAAAATTAACTCAAAATGGGTCAAATACTGAAATGTAAGAGCTAAAACTCTAAAACTCTTAGAGAAAAAAAACATGGGTGTAAATATTTGTGACCTTGGATTAGGTAATAATTTCCTAAACCAAAACCATAGAAAAAATAAGTTGGATTTCATCACAATTTTAAACTTTCATGCTGCAAAGGATACCACCAAGAAAGAGAAAAGACACCCAGAATAGGAGAAAACCTTTGCAAATTATATATATGACAATGGTTTATTATCCAGAACATATAAAAACTATTACAATTCAATAATAGAATGTCAACCCAATTTAAGAATTTAGCAAAGGAATTGAAGAAACGTTTATCCAAATAAGATATACAAATGGCCAAAATACACATTAAAAGAGACTGAATCTCTTTAGTCATTAGGAAAATGCAAATCGAAACTAAAAAGAGATACACTTCAAACCCACTAGGATGACTACAATCAAAATATCAGACAATAAAAACATTGGTGGGGATGTGGAGAAATTGGAATACACACACGCTGCTGGTGAATATGTAAAATGGTGTGATCACTTTGGAAAATATTTAGCCAACTGCACAAAAGATTGAATATAGAGTTACCATATGACCATTCTGGGAAAGGCAAAACTTTAGGGATGGAAAACAGATCAGTGGTACCAGAGATTGGTAGTAGAGGTAGAACTTTGCCTTCAAGAGTCTGCAGAAGAGAATTTTACAGTGATGGAACTTTTTTACATAGTACTCTGGTGTTAGGTACATGACTCTTGCCTTTGCCAAGACACATAAGATTATTCACAGCGAAGATTGAAGTTTCTAGTTTGCAAATTTTGAAAAATCAACCAGGATGTCAGTTAATTGCAGGATGGAATATAGACTGTGACATAAAAAAATCTTATTAGATTACAAATATAAGGCATAATTTCACTGAAGGCTAAAAAAAGTCAACATAAATAACTGTAAAACAGTGTTTTGATTAGATATTAAAGCTAAGGACAAAAAGAACTGTATACAACCACTGTTGTCTTGTTGGTAAATTTGTCTGTCAGGGGCAGTTTAGCAACTCTAAAACTACTTTACATGTATATAGGGTTGAACATATAATTAAATAAATTGTACATAGTGAGACCTAGTTTCTCACTGCCTCACTGAGAAGGAAGTTACAAATAAGCAAGCAAGAAAGGCTATAATGAACTTCATGGTGCTGTTAGTTTCAAAAATATCAGTATGAATTTATTTTTATGTTTATATATATACATACAGATTCAGTAGATATGTGTATCCATGCATACATACAGGTATTTTCTAACTTTGTCAGCTAAGGACCTAAAAGTTGATATCCAGTAACAATAAGTACATCTCACACCCAGATCTTGGTTTCCAGATACCAAATTCCAAAAAGACTTAGAGATCCTTGAAGAAATGACTTGTTCTAAGGCTGAAATTGAGAAAATACAAGGTGAGCCTGGAGTATCTTACAGTATAAAAAAAGTAAGAAAAGGCTTGGGGTGCCTGGGTGGCTCAGTTGGTTAAGTGTCTGACTTCAGCTCAGGTCATGACTCCATGATTCATGGGTTCAAGCCCCACATTGGGCTCTGTGCTGAAAGCTCAGAGCTTGGAACATACTTCCGATTCTGTCTCCCTCTCTCCCTGCCCTTTCCCTGATCACACTCTCTCTCTCTTTCTCTCAAAAACAAATAAACATTTTTAAAAATTAGAAAAAAGAAAGAAAGAAAGAAAAACCTCAAGAAAAGGAGACTGAGTAGGAGCCCCTGTCTTAGGGGCACAGATGTGAAACAGAAAGATTTCCCAATAGCCAACCTGAAATGATTTCTACAATACAATAAATAAGGATCATATTGAATTACAAACCCAAAGAATATAATAAATATTCATACACCCATGCTAATATAAATAATTGAATAAATAAATAAATGAGGAGAAGGAACAAATCTCTTTATGGAAAATTCCAATAACTAAATGTAGAAGGAATGAACAATACACAGGCAGTCCAGTGATGAATGCTAAAGCTAATAAGTAAACCTGTAAGCGAAACAGAATGTTTGCCAAATTTCAAAATATTTCCCCAAAAGTATTTATTAAAAATTGTAATGGTTTTTACCATGTGTCCACAAATGCATTGCTACTTCTCCTTCCAGATAGTGAAGTTTAATTACCTTCCTCTTGAGTCTAGGTTGGCTTTAGTGACTTGCCTGTAACAAGGGAAGTACAGTAACTTTACAGTGGAGAAATTTAGAAGATACCGCCTTAAGCAGTATGTTCGTTTTCTAAGACTATGGTAACCATAGAGTGCCACAAAGTCAGTGGCTTAAAACAACAGAAATGCATACTCTTCCAGTTCTGGAGGTTATCAATCTGAAATCAGTTGCCGGCAGAGCCATGCTTCCTCTGAAGTCTCCAGAAGAGAATTCTTCCTTTTCTCTTCTATGATGGTTACTACCAGTGTTTGGCATTCCTTGGCTTCACTCCAATCTCTGCCTCTGTCTTCCCATGGCTTTATTCACTGTCTGTCTGTGTCTATTGCCAAATTTTCCTCTTAAAAGGATAACAGGCATTGGTTTTAGTGTCCAACCTAATTTGTATGACTTCATCTTAACTTGATGTAACTGCAAAGACCTTATTTACAAAAAAGATCACATTTTCAGGTTCCAGGTGGATATGAATTTTGTGAGACACTATTGAACCCAGAACAAGTGATCAAGAATAACACCAACAATAAAAAGTCATATATCTTTCCACTAGATTTATAAGGGCTGTTTTAATGTCTTTTTAGAAAATTCCTACATCTTGCCATTAGAGTCTGTTGATCATCTTTTCCATGTGGGTTGTCATTTTCCTGGCTCTTCACATGTTGAATAATTTTGAATTTTACTCTGGGCATTTTGAAAATTGTGTTATGAGACTTCGGGTCTTATTTTAAGTATTACGGATAATGTTGAAGTTTCTATGTTAGCAGGCAATCGACCCCATGGGGTATAGGCTTCAAGAACTGACCAACATTCTATAGGTTTTGGTTTCCTTGTCACTTCAACTTTTAGAGCCTCTACCATGTTATTTGGATCTGTTCTCTGTGTGTTCCACTCATTGCTCAGCCTGGAACTTGAGTGGGGGGTCTATCTCTTAGTTCAGTTCTTAAAGTTGTTAATACACTATTTAGGATTACATCCATGCGTGTAGAACTCAGTGGTGAGCCCAACAGTTCATAACAAATTTATGTAGGTTGCTTTTTCAAGCTCCCTCTTCTCCATAAGTTCCCTTGTGCTTTCCAATTCCCAAGGACTCTCCTTTTCAGTCCTCCATCCAGAAAGCTGGGGCTATATTTACCTCACTCAGCCACATAATTCTTGCATACAGAGTGGAGTCACGGTAGGGTGGAGAGAGACTCAAAGCTGTAAGGGTTGCTCCCACCTCTTGGGAACACAGTCTTTCTGATTGAAGAGGAAGTTTCCCCTCTCTCATTTTAGGCATCATTGTAGTAGTACTATCATGACTGTTGCTACCAAATTTCCTTCCTGCTCTCTAAACATGAAATAAGGGGCTCCTTCTAGAGATCTCTATATCGTTGCTGATGTCCACTTCTGGATAACCAATGACTTGAATCCAAACTAGAAATAATGGAAAAAATGGTAAAATCACTACCAGTCCTGAGTCACTAAAAATTATTCTTGTTATTTTCCTTTCAGAATCCTCAAATTGCTGCTTAATCATTATGTCCGAGTTTTATAGTGTCTTAAGCAGGAGAGATAGGGTAAACTATGCTTATTCCATTTACCTGGAATAAGAACCACTATAATGAACAAACTAGAAATAAATACCACTATAATGAACAAACTAGAAATAAATAATAGAAATATATTACGAAAATCTACAAATATTTGGAAGTTAAACAACATATTCTAAATACACAGAGCATTCTAAATGCTTCAAAAGACCCTAAAACAGATTTTTAATAAAATGTAAATGAAAATACAACAAGTCAAAATTTGAGAAAAGCAGCTAAAGCAGTGCTTAGAGTAAGAACTATGCCATAAATATTCATATTAGAAAAGAAGAGGGCACCTGGGCAGCTCAGTCAGTTTAGTGACTGACTGTGGCTCAGGTCATGATCTCGTGGTTCATAAGCTCTGAGTCAGGCACCCACATCAGGCTCGCTGCTGTCAGCCTGTCAGCACAGAGCCTGGTTTAGGATCTTCTGTCCCCCTCTCTCTGCCCCTCCCCTGCTTGCACTCTCCCAAAAATAAAAAATATATATAATTTTTTAAAAATAATTAAAAAAAAGAAAAGAAGATATCAAATATAAAAGCTAGGTTGTGAAGGGTAGCAGAATATGCCACCCCCAAATACACCACTTTGGCATAGTGATTATTTTGAGCTGTAAGCACATGAAAAACAGCAAATGCATGGAAAGGTTTTCTCTGAATTCCCCTTATCTGCCTAAAGACAGATCCTCCAAAAGGAACCCTATTGTCAGAAATCCCTGCCCTAGGAGATTCATCAACCAGGAAAGATCCACTTCTTACAGGAGGGGAGACTAGAAAGCTGACCCCACATCCAGACAGATTTTGTCAAAAACTATCATAGTTCCCATCTATTCCTCTATGGACCTATTCGCCTTTCCTAAAAATCATTTACCCTCCCCTAAGACACTTCTCTTTTCCCTATTAAGATGGTAGGTATGCCTGAATTCTAAGCCAGCTCTTTGAGTGACTTATATTTTCCTGGTTATTTTCCTTATATACATAAAGTATACAGGTTAAAAACTTGTGTTTATTTTTGGCATGCTAATCTGCTTTTTATTACAGAAATCCCAGCTGAGAACTCGGAAGTGTAGAAAGAAAATTATTTTTCTTCCTTTACTGTTTTCACTCTCAGAAACTGGATACATAAGAGTTGAATAAAACTAAAGCAAGGGGAAGGAAGGTGATAATAAAGACAAAAGCAGAAATTAATACAACTTAAGAGAGAAGAGAAACAATAGAGAAAACCAGCATAACCAAATGTTTTTTGAAAAGATGTATAAGCCAACTGACTTGTTGCTTGGATCAAGATGATGATAGAGTAGAGATGGTGAGAAATAGTCAGATTCTGGATATGTTTTGATGGTTGAGCCTATAGGGCTTTTGATACATTAGCAGAAGGCTATGAGAAAAGGAATCAGGGAGTCTTCAAGGGTTTGGATCTAAGCCACTAGGAAAATACATTTGCCATACACCAATAAATGGAACACAGAAGAAGGAGCAGGTTTAGGAGGTACATCAGTCAAGATATGTTTTTTCTCTGAACATGACAGAGGAAACCATATAAAAATTACTTTAACATTATGTAAGTTTATAGTATAGCTCATGTAAAACAAGTCTGGAGAGAGATAATCAAAATATCATTGGAGATTCAAATTCACATATTTATGCTCTGCTATCCTGGCACATGTTTCTCCTTATCAATTTCAACTGTTATTATTCAGATGAGACCAAATCCAGTAAATATGTGCTCATTCAAGCTGAAAGAAGGAAATTCAGGCTCTCTTTTGGGAACCCTTTCAATTGTGTTAGTTCTCTTTAAGCAGCCACGCTGAAAGTCCCATGTAATAGATCCATTGATATCACATTGGTTAGAGTTAGATGCAGGACAAGCCCTTTTGCAAGAAAGGCTCTAGACAAAGTAATATCTGATACTGGACACTGATCTATTCAACTAAAACCATGGCTCCAGAGGGCACATGCTAAAAATTCTGTGGAATAAGAAGGAGAGGGAGATGGAGATTAGGAAATATACAGAGCCACATGAGGATAAAATATGGCAATGAGAAAATCTTGGAAATTCTGTGATAGATGCACACAGTGATATGACATAATGACATGAAGAACAGTATGAGAAATGTTAGCATTTGTAGTGATCCAAAGGCAGCAATCTAACAATCTAGCCTATTCAAAAAGCCAGTCAGATGGTCACAAACATTTTGAAAGAGAAAATTCAGGTGTTAAAGAACAGGATAGAAGTAAGAAAAAAAAAAAAAAAACAGGCAAAAGAGTTTAAAGGAGAAGACAGAAGACAGAATCTGGAAAAATTATCTGAAAAGGAGCAGCAAAGACTCCACAGAGTGCTTGTAGACCAAGGAATGGAGCGGAAAGGAGAGGGGAACAGTAACTTGTACTAAAAACTTTGGTCATTGTTGCAAATCTAATTTCAATTATAGAACAGCTCCGATATACCATCCATGGTACAGATGGGACACAGTTACATCTTTATCACTAATTACTGGTAACTAACAATTATTGGTAATATTGGTAATTATTAAAGATATTTTGGTCAAGTAATTTAGCATAAGAAAAAAATCATTTCATTTACTTTTTACAGGTAGCATTGGATTTGAGAGTTTTTTCAGCCACCAAGTTTCATTTGGTCACTCTGAATGAATGGTGATACAATTTATATATCAATTATTGCAAAACACTGACAACTATCAACAAAGGCTGTGTTTTTATTAATATATTTTAACAAATAATATAGAAGGGATGTTGTATACATACATGGTAGTTTATTGATTCAATATATTTTTGTTTAGTACATGAGACAAAAAAGGAGTAACATTTTGTTATTTGTATCAATAAAGAATTCTTTCATTGAAGGCACATCTCATCATCCATACCAATGATAAGGGAATTCCTAAGAAGAAATCTATACAAATGTAGAATACAGGATATAGCTGGGCAATCTCCTTTATGGTTATTTCTTATTATTATTTACAAACACCTATGTAACAATTGTCCAAAAAAACATTCCCCTTCCTTACTTTTCTTCTTTTCTTTAAGGAATCTTAACCCATGTGAAAAAAAAAGAATCCAAAATATTTTACTTGCAACTATATTATTTGACCCAATGTTATAGAAATACTTAAGTTTTCATTGACAGCTTCCTTTCCCTTGTATTGAAACAAAGCTGCTGGAGAAATTATTTCTTGTAGGTTTGAAAATGATTGCAAATATCAACAATTGGTTCAGTAACTACTGGAATTATTGTTTGATTTAAATATAAACTATTTTATTGTTTTAAGTGGATCAAGGATAGTAACAGTTTTATAAGGACAGAGACTTTAAAAGAAATACTTCCATCCCTCTCTCTCTGCCCCTCCCCTGTTCATGCTGTGTCTCTCTCTGTCCCAAAAATAAATAAACGTTGAAAACAAAATTTAAAAAAAAAAAAAAGAAATACTTCCACTCTGTGGCCTAAAAACTGTCTGAATAAACCTCTGATGAAGGAGATTTATCCATAGTTATACAGCCCCATCTATAAATGAAGAATTGAGTCTCCATAATATAGACAAAAGGGAAACATGTAATGAAACTTGAGCAATGTATTAAAAAGGAAACTGCCCTTTAGAGATAATGGATCTATTCTCTACTCCATGCATGAATGCAACTCTCATTAACACTAATGGAAGTTACTCGTGAGCATCAAGAAAATATACCTGGTATAACGGATTTCCAAAATGGGTAATGGCATCTAATCTATTCCTAGTATGGGTGCGTCTTTATGTAGCCAAACAAAAGTACCTCTGAAATTTGGGGATAGAGATAAGCATTTAAGTAAAGAACTTTAAAGTATTAAGAAACTCAGAACACAGCAGTACCTTTGCATGTTTTCTTCCCTCTCAAACAGCTTTTTCCTCAGGGTGCCTGGGTTAAGCATCCTACTCTTAATCTCGGCTCAGGACATGATCCCACAATTCGGTTCATGAGATCAATCCCCACATGTAGAGCTCCATGTCCAGCTCTGAGTTGACAGCGTGGAGCCCACTTGGGATTCTCTCTTTCCCTCTCTCTGCTCCTCCTCTGCTCGCTCTCTCTCTCCTTCTCAAAAATAAATAAATAAACATTAACAAAATAATAAAACTGTCTTTAAAAAAAACTTTTTCCAGTCACAGTGATTTACTTATATCCTGCCACTGCATAGATTTTAGGAGACTGGTTTCAAACAGTGATGTCATCTGATTAAAACATCATAACCTACAGTGCACTACCACGATGCCTGACACAAAATTAGTGCACAGATAAGTTTGGTTGTTTTCCCAATTTCATTTGGATATTCTGTTTTGAAAATTGTCATGATATTAGCTATCAATAATCCAGAAAACTTTTTTTCTCTTCATCAAAGATTCCTGATTAAACATTACCTATTGAAGTGTTGGTAGCTTCAGTTAGCTGCCTGAAAATTTTTTACTATAAAATTTTTAAAAATCAGATAATCACAACATTCAAGTAAATGAAAATTTTTTTATTAAGCAAGTTATAGATATAATTTACCTAATTTATTGAAAATAGTCAAGTTAGATATTGATAGAATATTCCAATATACATCAAAATAAAACCAGGGAAGTTCTGTTAACACTTCACCTAAATATCCTCCATGATTTCTGTCAAAAGTGTAATGTCAGTATTGAACACCAGTACTTATGTTCAGAAATACTTAAGGACAGGCTCTCTGTAGATCTGTTCTGTGTTCAACCATAGGACAGAAAAGAGTCCATTGTTTTGAAATCAGTTACTTCACAGTTCATGGTTTTGGTTTCTGTATAAGTAATTAATTCCCCAGGTAATCTAAATGAGTTCTTATCTGTTTCATGTATTGACATTTTAGGAGTTTTCTCTGATCGTTTCTCTGCAATTTTTTCCTACTAAAATTAAGTTTCAGACGGTTGCCAGTCACATTTCTTCTTGTTCAATAATGGGAATTGCTTTTGTTCAACATGTAGATCTTTCTTTCTCTCATTCAATCTTCCTCCCTCTCTCTGTCTCTCTTCCTCTTTCTTGCCTTTTGCTTTCCTCTTTGTCAACTGTATATAAAACTTAAGCATTTCTCCTCTTCTTTATTATCTAACAGGGTAAAACAAATTAATTTCATTGAAGCTTTCAAGAATCGTGTGCAAGATAGAAACCAAACTGGCTTAATGCTGATATAAACAACTTCATATTTTCCATGATAATCATATATATATATATAAATACACTACTAAATTTTTTTGCAAAAGATTCAAGCCATTACTTCTGAGATCTAAAACTTGAGAAATGAGAGAAAAATAGAGATTTTGACATGGAATGTATAAGCATCATAGATCAAACAAGTAGTAGGGGAAGCTGGCAAGAATAGAATTAGCATGACTGAAAATTTCCTATATGTAGGACATTTGAAATATTAAGTAGTACTATCATACATTTAGGATCTCTTTGAATGCAAAGATCCTGAAGCTTAGAGAGATTTAGTAAAATTCCTGAAGACATATACATTATAAATAGTATATGTACATGTGCATACACACATATGGGTATATATATATATATATATATATATATCCAAAACTCTTGAATTTTCCACAGCTAGACAAGGCTGCCTCATTAATAAAATGGAATTTTATTTACCCCAAACTCCCTAGCCCCTGAGTAGGTAAGGCAAGCCAACGAATTAGAATGCTTTTGGTCTCCTACAATACTTCTAACTATATGCACCTCTAAACTACATGATCTATACACTAGAAAACAACTTTTATTTATTTGTTTGTTTATTTATTCATTTTTTATTGAGAGGGTGATACAGAGCACATGAATGGGGGAGGGGGAGAGAAAGAGAGAGAGAGAGAGAGAGAGAGAGAGAATCTCAAAGTAGGCTCCACACCCAGCAAAGAGCCCCATACAGGGCTTAGTCTCTCCACTGTGAGATCATGACCTGAAGCAAAAACAAGAGCCAGTTGTTTAACCTACTAAGCCACCCAGCACCCCCCCAAAAATATCTCATTTTCAAAAGCCTACAGTGGCCCAGTTATTTCATATTTCATATTGCATGTATATTGCTATTAATCCCAAATATAATTTTTTCAAAGGCATGTTTTCCCATTCCAATTCAGAAGAACCCTATTGGTTCCCCCATTTCCTAATATAAAATGAGGATAACCTGCCCTCTACCCTCACACAGTTGTTGAAGGATAAAATTTATGCAAAATCATCTTTTTTGTTGGAGTGAGCTATGTTGCAATTTTTCAGTCCCATTGTTAGGGACTGATCTATTCCAGCTGCTAACTCAGGAAAGGAAAGGTAGGCCCTGGAACGCTGCCAGGGCCAACTGCTCAGACCCAGAGAATCCCAAGGGGGCTGGACAAATCAAAAGCACAGCTCCTGGCTGGTTTTGCCAGCAATGTTTCCAAACCAACTCAGATAAACTCATCACAAGAGAAGCCTATAATTCAGGAGAGGAGGGTTTAGAAAAGAGAAAAGGAGAAATTTATTTCGGGTGCTGGCAGCCAGAGAAAGTGGCAGGCTCAAGCCCCAATAACCGACTGCTCCACCAGCTAAATGGACACCTAGGTTTTATAGAAAGGGTTTGGGGTGGCGGGCAGGGTATGTGAAAGAAGCAAGCAGAAAGCGTGTGATCATGAGTCCATAGGTGTTCAGCCCGGGATCGTGGGCAGGGAAGGGGGTGTGTTGGGTGTGGTCTCCTAGGCATTCTGTTGCTATCAGGACTTTTCTGGTCTGGAGGTTGGAATGTTCCTGTCAATGCAAAACATCTTCATCATGCCTCAAGAAAGTGTTACAGGAAATAAGAACAATGAGTTTCAGTTACAGCACCAGTTAAGTGGTCTTGTCTATTTCTGGTTTTAACTCTTGAGCAAGAGGGCTTATTAACACCATGACCTAAAATAATGCTTTACACATAATAACTCTAAATAAATAATTGAATGGATGATCTTTGACCTCTTGGTTCCACATACAACTCCAAAGAAGAAACACCATAAAAACTATTACCTATTACTATATTATAATTAAAAGAAACCATTTTTAGTGTTCTAAAAACAATATACTTTACATAGGTAACTATCATTCTCTTTACCATTTTCTTTATATACATCTGTTAATTTTGCATTTGAAGGGGCGCGAGGGCATAATACAAAAGCATGGGAAATCCCCAAAAATACTTGTTCAAATCTCCAAAATATTGTTAATAGTATTTATGGTCTTTATGAAAGTTAAATAACTTGTTTGTGCTTCAGTCTCCATAGCTGCAAAACTGGAGCTAAATATTTACCCCATTGATTTGTTATGATAAAAAGGCACTGTACCTGGTACATATTACACATAAAATAAGTTATCATTAGTTTATTGTCATCACCATCAATATGTTCAAGCCAATACAATGAAGTTAGAAAGAATTACTTCATAATCTACCATTTATATGTACAATTTACTGAAATGTGTTTTTTTAGGTGTGAACAATATTCGATAATTGATGGGCATTAAGTTAATTAGGGTGCACAAAGCACTAATTGCAGGGAACCAAAAGGATTCCCTAATACAAATGCCTCTCAAAATACAGAATTATTGTAATACCATCTACCGTAGTGTAGTAGTTCTATCAGCACACCATTACATATTTTTTCTCTGTAAAATCTAAATTTGCATACTCAAACGATGAATTTGTGCCCTTAGATGTTTAAACTGAATTTTTTTCTTTTCTTTCCTTATTGCTTTCCTTCATTTTTTCCTTTTTTTTTCTTTTATCTTTCTTCCTTTTTTTTATTTCCAAAAATTTAAACTTCATTCAATATTCCAAGAAAATGAAACATTTTGCTAACTTCCTCCCCTTATTTTGTTATTTTATTCTCTCTTTACCCAAACTCTATTTTTAAATCCCTTTACTTCCAAGAAAGTCTCAAAACTCATTCATTCTAGAGTATAAACGTATAAAAGCCAGATAAGAATTATAGTGATATTTGTGGAAAGGAGAAAGGTGTTATTTTACATTGGTTTAAACTAAAGTACTCAATCATCTAACAAACACCACCAAGTATAAAAAATTGGCCCTCAAAAATCTCACCCACTCATGGCTGGCTCCTGCCGAATTTTCATAACTGCATCTCTACAAAGTCCTAAATTATTGACTCAACACTTAAAGAAAAAGTATAACTGTCAGAAGCAAAATAGAAACACCAAAAGCACAAGAAATCAGTTACATAACTTTTAAAGCACACGTTATGAGTTTATTCCAAACTTCTTGTCAAGGTAGAATATTGAATATTAATAATAGTTAAAAAGACCCTAAATACAATTTTGTGTAAAGATCTAACACAGCTATATCCAAGTGATCCTTCCAAACTTTTTCTCCTTGCTCATATTGTATCTGTATCTCCTAAAAATAAGAATATTAGTTATATTTGCTTAGGAATCAGAAAAGAAAATACTCATCCTTTCATTTTGGTTCATATTTACCAAAGTATTACACCTTCATGTTTATTGTATCAAACCATATTTCAGTTAACACCTTAGCTATGTGCCCTTCAATCTTGGATAAATGTAATGGAATTCTGAGTATGTCTAACAGAATTGCCTTCTAGTCTATTCTCAACCGGCATTATATTACGCCATGTTTCTTTTCAGGTCTGAATAGCTAAACCTTACATTTGATAGATTAAAGCAATGCTTTTTTTTATTATTAAAAACACATACTGAGAAGAATAAACTTAAGAAAGAATAAAGATTGACTCTGTAAATTGGACCATAGAAAGTGCAAACCACAAAAGAGAATGGAGTTACATTAAAATAAGTATAATTTAAAAGTCAAATTTAAATATATGCAGAAAGCATATGAAATTGTGTGTATTTTAGCCATCAAGAACAGACAATATTATTTGCCTCCAAATTCTTAAGTTTCTTTAATGAAATAATATAATGTTTAAAATATGAGGAAAACCACTGTAAAAACTGAGTTGTGTTACTATGGCAACAGAAAACCATTCAACTAGTCTTAGGCACCAACGAAAGTGAAAATGAATCCTTGCTCCATGAGAAATAATTATTAAAGACGGATATGCACAATGCTAGTTACACTTTTGAGTTAAAAAATAGTGCAGTAATATTTAAAAGCATATTTCTTACATTTCTTATAGGAACATTATGCTCTGAGTCTTTAGAAATAAACTTTTTAAAAATTAAGAAAACATAGCTCTAATTCTGGAGACAACATGTGATGTCTCTTGGGATAAAGATGGTAGATCAAAACAATTGATTTCATTTTCTGCTTCACTCAACATATATTTATTAGGCTTCTATGTCCTAGCACTGTGATAAGTACTGTGGATAAAATATTGAACAAACAATACAATCCCTATTATCTTGTTTACAAAGTAAAGTAGGAAAGACAGCAATCATTTAATCATATATATATATATAGTCATGTGTAATCATAGGATCTTTGCATATGTTGTTTCTGCTGTCAGAAGCAATGGGTGGAAAGGAGGGTAGGAAACAAATTCCTGACATAGAGAGAATGTTTGGTGATTTCTAGAAACTGTTTTAAAAAAATCCGGTAGGGGCCCAAACATTCACGACCTTCGAGACCAGTTAAGACTTTGGTATTTAGTCTGAAGGCAATAAAGAACTAGTGAGAGGGGCGCCTGGGTGGCGCAGTCGGTTAAGCGTCCGACTTCAGCCAGGTCACGATCTCGCGGTCCG